TGGCAGATATATCTGGGATGATCTATGAAGTGCTAAATACATTCCCTCATTTGTTTACCTTTGATTTACATAATCCTTAAAAAAAAAACATTTTTTGTTCAATGTAAATATTCTTGCACATGGGCTTTTCCACTATTCTGAGCCAGAGGGAGATAAACTCATATGCTTTTAACACAGAGTTTAATGTCTTTCTGGCCCTAAGCAGATGCATGTTGTTACTGACCAGGATAATATGAGACAAAGCCTAACATGTATTAAAAAACCCATTCAATTAGCCAGAATGATAAAGAACCCAGCTATTAGAAATGATGAATAAATTTATGATCAAGATTATTAGTAGGGCAATTCATTCCCAGCATTACAGTTCTTCATAGTTCATGAAAATATTGATGAATGTATTTACTATACTTTATCAATACATTATCAACTCTTAATTAATCCTTTAATTGCATATTATAACACCTTATACTACATTACCAGTACATATTCACTACCTATCAATATTAGCCATTACATTTCACTAATTAATATCACATATACTTAATATTTTGTTTGAAAATAACCATATCTTGCAAGCACACACATAGCCTGCATACAACTGAGAACAATGAAATAGCATAATATAATTATGTGAAATTGTGAATCCTGTTATAACAAAGCGTAACTGGCATTGTAAAATGCACTTGTATTAGGTGATGAACATTAACAAAGAGAAAATGTTCAAATTATGCAGCATTTTGTTATAACAAGATTTCCATGCATATTGCATAACAATGTGTAAACATTGTATGTGGAACATCAAATCCTCAATTTCAGTGTCATAAAAACTTCTTTATTGGACGGTTCGGTTGCGAATTGCATAACTAGTAGAGAAAATATCATACAGCTATATTTGAATACATGCACATGAATATTCATAACACAATATATAACTACTGTAAGTACCATACAATTTTTCAGTTTAATATGTTAATTCTAAGACAAATATTTTAAAATTACAATTGCATACATATTTTTTTTATCATGAAAAAGATTTGGAGTTTGAGATTACTCAGAGCGTTTTTTGGGAATGCCAGAACTTCTTTGTGCATATCCAGTAAAACAAACAACATGATTAGTTACTGAATGATGTACATGTAGATTTAAATTTTATGCACAAAAAAGAGAGGGGAAAATAGGGCAAACTTCAGGAAGATGCATGTTTGCAATGAAACATTACCTAAACTAGAAAGTTTCTTTGGAATAATGAGTCACATAGCACCAGCTTATGCCAATGAACTTGGTGATCTGAGAAGAGAATGAGGGATTTGCCATGAATGACGATCGATAGCAGATTGGATAGCAGATTGGATAGGTATTAAGATAGAACGACAGGGAAGCTTTTGTCAGGGGTTAAGAGCTGTGAAATCTCCATCAACTGAAAACTATAATCATCTTGTGAGTACTTCCTGATAAAGATGGAGAAGTGGATGAAGAAGAAGAATGATAGCGAAAGTCACATGATCAATATGGTTTCTTGTGAGAGAATGAAAGAATCAATTTTCCTGGTAAAACAATCGTTCTGAGATTTTAAAAAACCATAAAAAAACCTAGGTCACAACTCACAAGTATTACTTTCTCCCACATTAAAGATGTTAAAGTGATGAGACTCGTTAATTCTCTGTGTATCGTGTATGGGATTGTCCATGATTTATGTTTTAAGTTAAAATTTCATGACATAATTCAAAACATTAATTCACTTATTTATTCATGTTTTATCTAAAATACATAAAAAAACATGTTTAAAGCATTAACTACACAATTGTACATAAGACACAAGTCTTGAAAATAAAAAGTTTTTCATAAGGCCATGTGCCCATGTCCATGATAAGGTTTGGTCATTTCCTGTTATACTGCCCTCACATGGCAGCCATGTCAATTTGGGAGAATTAGAAATGATTGAGATTCAAAGACAAAAAAAATATAACCCCACGGTAGCAAAAGATTGATTGATTGTTATACACAGTGACTTGCTCTCTCATCAACATTGTAATAAATTAACCATCTACAACAAAAACATAAACCTGAATAACAACATTCGTATTTATGCAGGTACATGAGAGACGTGAGCTCCCATATATTAAACTCCTTGATGCATAGTTTATTTTTCCTGATGCCTCATGGTTTGTTATGAAGCCTGTACAATGTCATCCCACCATGCAATGTCAAACAAGATACAGCACGTATGGGGCATCGCCGCGGTGATCAAAGTCACGCACAAAGTCATTCTGAATGTCGAGATAAAGAGGCTCGCAGACAATGGCAAGCGCACAATGCACGATGTCTCCTTTATATAACCCCTTCAGGCGGCCAATTGAGCTGTCGGATCAGGCCTCCCTTGGGTCGGGCATACTTGCCGTAGATTTCAAGAGAGTGCTGCGTCTCTGACGATCTCCAACCGATCTTGCCCGCCGTGGTCTTGGGGAAGGGTTTGGGGGAGGTGTCAACCTTGATGTACCTGGAGATGGGTGTGATCGGAGGCAGGACCAGGGGTGGTGGAAGCTCAATCTTCTTCACGTCGCGCTTCACAAAGTCGTCTTTCACAAGCTAAAATGATGACAAATTAAAAGGAATTATCAAATAGTAACAAAGGATATATTTTTCAACCTCAAACTTCACAAGGTTGTCTTTAGCTTTAGCAAACTACATGTAAAAAGAATTCATAATGACAATGAAATTGAATGTGTAGGATGAAAGTAACTCCACATTGTTTTGATATATTCTGTATTATAGTTACGATAAGTATTATACAAAAACTACTTACATAACAAAGAGTTATGTTAGTGGGGATAACTAATGATATCTATTAACAATGATAAGAATATAATGAAATATACTGCAAAAGTTTTTGTAAAGAAGGATATATATATAGCTGTTTGAAATACTGCATTTTACAATATATTATGTAATTCATACTGACAAATAAACAATTTTTTAATCATTCTATGACCCTTCATTAATAACTTTAAAAAGACTGAGCAACAAACTGCATTTAAAGACCACCTGTTCATTACGACTAAAGTGTTAATTAATTTTTAGACATCAAACATCTAGTGGGGAAAATGCAGTTCATGATAATAATCACAATTTTAAACTACATGTAAATGCACATGTCAGTCAAAAGTATGAACTAAACTTCTTTTTGCTGACATAAAAATTACCCATTTAAGAAGTGAATTATTAGCTCTTCCTTTAAGCAGCTTTAAATCTACACCTGTTAGAAATAATTGTATTTCAATAGTCAGAATGCAAATTGTATACATTAATTGTTGGTAAGTGAGACAAACATTATGGCTTTTCTACCTAACAACAAAGATGTATGGAATATATATGTAATTTACATCCTGGCTATTGAAAGACAATCTTTTGAAACAGGTGAATGAAATAATTTGTAATGAGGCACTTAACACAGATTTGTGCATTTAATTTAACTGTATTTCAAAAACAGCCTATGAGTACAGAGAACATAGATCATATATGTCACTCAGTGTCAGAGGTCAAACTTACATCTTTGTAACTGCCTCCAAGGAAGCCCCAGTATTCTGGCCATCTCTTTGATGCTGTTTCTTCATATCTGATGTGGTCCTTCCTAGAAACAGATTAAAATAAGACATACAATGATTTATGATGATTAAAAAACAAATACATAAAAGTTTCCACATACAAGAAATACTTTAGGTTATGTTTACAAATCCACTCAAAGGTACCTCTCAGTTGCACGCTGCTTCTTGGATAAGATTTGTTTAGGATTAAGATTTAGATGGGTAGATTGAGAAGGAAAAATAATAATCTAGCCACAGGTCGATGATGATGATGATGATGATGAAGAAGATGTAGAGATATACAAGTAACTAGAGTCAGAACATGGCCATTGCCAAACTCTGATTAATAAATTAACAAAAAAATGTATAGCTAATGAATAGACCCCTACTTCAATTTTGTTTTAATCCTTGTAACTATTAGTATTAGTTGTACATGTCCTGAAAATTTGTCTCCACTTAATACAAAAAGTATCAAAAATATGGCTTAGGTAGACTATTCAGAATCACCAAGATATTAATATTTTCATGATATTTGTGACCGATACTGTCAGACTTGTAAAAAGGGAGGGAGGGAGGGAGAGAGAGAGAGAGAGAGAGAGAGAGAGAGAGAGGGGGAGAGAGAACAAGAATATGCCATGACTGTCCAATATGGCTTTACACTATCTACAGTACACAAAACTAAAAAGTTATTGAATAAAACATATCAAAATTATGCTGTAATAGGTATAGACCCTACATGGAATAATATATTTTTATTTCAAGCGAAAACATGAGTATATATCACACAAAATGAAGTATATAGTTCTACCACTACCCGGTATCATATTGTAGGCTTTGCATTTATGTTACTCGTGGCATTATAAATACAACAAAATTACAACAAAAATGCAAGCTAATACTCACCAAACTTGGTCATTGGCCACGAAGTTGAATCCAGCAAGGGCTTTGCCGGTCGGTTGAGAAGGTTTCTCCGCCATTTTAGTCCCCGAAACCAGCAAAAATCACAATTTTCCTGTCGAAATGAATCCTCTGCCACCTGCAAACGCACAAGTTGTTATCTTCTACCTTCTATCTTCTACCAAGAATGCATATACACTACACTCTATTTGTATGCACCGCATGAGTATCCATAACAACTGGACGCCCATCAAGGTCAAATGGTCCGTAATGAATTGATAGACGCCTCCATTGCGTGCAGGGGTGGGAAATTCAACGGAGGGACAAACTTATGGACATAGTGGTACAATCGAAAACGATGTATTGTATGATTAAAATTTATATGAAATAACGATGATGAGATATGTGTAGTTAATATTTCATCAATAAAAGAAGGACTTAATGTGTTTTCTTGGAATGATTTTAACCGTCTGCAGTCCTCTCTGTGGTTTATCGCCAGACATTTTTATACCTTACCTGTCTGCATTATGGTAGCCACCCGTCTGGAGAGGCTACTCATTTTCCACACTCGGTACTCGCCCCATTTGCATCGAAAAAATCGCCTAATACTTAGGAAGTATACCATCTGGTCGTACGAATTGGATAATTTCATGTTCTGTGGTATCGCAGCTTGGTGCTCCTACTGTGAATTAACGGGAAAAGGGATCAATTTTGCCATAATTCTCGACTGAAACTGGGAGAGGTGTGGACTATCGGGACGTTTCGGCTGCATTCGGAAAACCTGGCTAGACTTCGGCCTTGCAGATATTATTAGCCAGACTGGTGCAAATATACATGGCATGTATGCACATACAAACGTGGGTATAGCAGAATGCACCCCTTGTAGCGAGCTTTCTACATAGCTAGCTATCCGTGCATGTATAGTGTGTGCGCATGCAGCAATGTGTGCATGCAGTAGTATCATCGGTCCAGAAATCATGGCAGGCGCTTAGGTGAAGCCACATGAGAGGTTGTAACGAGCGGAGGTTTCGCCGTTTTAACCCGGGGAAGGTGCCTAGCCCGGCGATTTCTGCATACATTTGTTACATGAGTATGGACCGCCAAACCGAGTCTTTTGTATGCCTAGGTTTGATAGGTAAGTTTCTGAACTAATGAAGGTTTTTTCATCCCTGTCCCTGTTTACAGTGTTTACTGTTTTTCTTTTTGTCATGGATTAGAATGAAGACTGAGCTGAATGAATGACGACTTTTCACGCACCTGGGCCGGGGAGCGCGAGCCTGGACTAGAGCATTGATGACGTGCGCTATTGTGTCTGTGGACAGTGGAGTTGTCCAGGCCAGGACTCAAGTCGGCCTTATCCTGCATGTTGCAGGCTAAAAAAAAAAAATCAAACATTAAAAAAAAAGTAAAAATAGAGGCTAGATCTAGAATAGATCCTAGATCTAGCCTAGAATCTAGGCGTTTATTAAAGACAGGTGAGGTCTGTCGAAATCTAGCATAGATCTAGATCTAGATAACTAGATTAATACTAGATTCTAGATTGTCTGATTTTTATTACCGATACTCGTATAGAATAGACCCTAGATAGACCTACTCAAGGAATTGTTATCGCCAACCGATACCGATATGATCGTGATCGGGAGTTGTAAAAATGGAGTTGCCTGTGAGATTCTGATCGTTGTTTCGGAGGTCGTTGTCGCCCGATTAAAGGTGTTTTAATCTCCAATTCCTGTCTGATCTCTGGTCATTCCTGTTTGTACTTGGTGAATCCCCTACATTGGCGTAATCAGACAGGAATTGGAGATTAAAACACCTTTAATCGGGCGACAACGGCCTCCGAAACTACGATTAGAATCTCACAGACAACTCCATTTTTACAACTCCCGATCACGATCATAATCATATCGGTATCGGTTGACGATAACAATCCCTATATTTGGAAGGCCGATTTATTCATTAAGTCTATTCCTATGGCTAATATCCCATGATGACTCTTCTTTTCAGCATTTTAATGTTGTTAGATTTAATATTTGTGTTACCTAAAAATGCAACAAACCCCCCCCCCCCCACCAAAAAAAAAATAAATAAATAAAAATGAATAAACACAAAATGAATTGCGTTAGGGGAGGGGCAAAAAACTAACCTAATAACGTAGAACAAGATGGAAATAGTTTTTTTTAACTGAGTTGATTGAATTTTTTCTTCTTCTTCTATCGCCATAAACTACCTTAGTAACAAATACTGATCTCCAATGTCCAACACGCGACAGGAAAGAGGTGAAAAAAATTATGCTAGTAATGCAGATCTGAATCTGTCTTGTTCCTGGTCCAGCTTCAATTTTTTTCTAGTCTAACTTAAAAGCTTGAAAAATTACTGAAAGTGGTGAGCGTGATATGGCCCTTCAAGGTCAAAAAGAGCTCTGGTAAAAAAAAAAAATTCACAAATTTTTAGTGATGAGACCAACTCTGGTTCTGTATTGAAATCTTCACTTTTTTTTTATTACACTGGCGAGAAGGGACTTCACTTTAAAAGAAATTTTTTAAATAGCTTGTTATTATTCTTATTGGAGAAAAAAATCAGCTCCTCTGATTACAGATCAGTTTGCTTAAATTAAATGTGTTAGGATCAGTTCGTTGTAACTTGTCTGGCAGAATGCTGTACAGTACATCTACAAATTCCATGTCAAAAGATTTGACCATCTAAAATGAAACAATACATGTGTAAGATGTAATGATCAACAACAAAAAGAGGGTGTATAGAAGTGAAAATTTACACAATGGCTTAAATGCTCTTATTCTCTCTAGTAAGGCCAAGTTGGAGCACTTGTTTTGTTAGATTAAGATCCTCAGAGCCAGTCGTATTCATCGCCAGTGAAATTGTCTCAAGGCAGCGCTGAAATGGTTCATCAGAATTAGGTTTGGTAAGCTGAGCAGCATACTAGTTAACACGATGATAAACAGTAGTCTGCTATCAGAAAGAAATGAAATTGGCCAGATTGACTACCTGATACCATTCACAGCTCACACCAGTGATTTATCTCAATGCAGTGCCTAAGGTTCATTGGAAATAACTTTGGTAAAGCAAAATAATAGTAATAATAATAATATTTAATTTTTATATAGCGCTTATTACAAATGTCTCTAAGCGCTTTACAAATATACTATTACCCCGGTCATTGGATAAAAGCAGGAGTTTGTGAGCAGAAAGAAGAGAGTTGGCCAGGTTGACTGACTAGCCATTACCAGCTAAATCTCATGTCAATGACCGTATCGTCAGGCGCCGCTGAAAAGGTTTGTTGAAAATAATTTTGGGAAAGGCCAGGTGAAAGCAGGAGTCAGCTCTCAGAAATAAGAGAATTGTTCAGATCGACACTTTTTTACATGTACCGGTATGTACCTTCCACCAAAGGAGATGAACTTACAAAGTTGTCCTCTTCATTCAGGTTTGGCAGTTGTTGCAACCAAGTCTCTACCTGCACCCAGGAGGTCACACAATAAGAAATATTCCTCTATATTGAAAATCAGATCTTCTTTTTATTCCTTGTGAGGATACATACAGACTGGAAACTCTTTATCATGTATTGTGCAAGACCCCAAAGCATGATTCAATGCTCAATTGTGACAGCATTATCAGCGATGGTATCTTCATCACCAGGCTCGTATTTCTGTCAGTGCGTCAACTTGTATTAATCCCGATCGATTCCCTAGAACAGGTCTCTGTAAATTCATTGTGTATGCACAGAACATATTACCGGTATGCGAAACTTTCACCCCTGAACAGCACCAACTTATTTATGCAATTTAGGTTCTGGCCATTGGAGTAAAAACAATAATAGCAGGTGAATTAAAAAGAAAAAAAAATTGCAGGTGAATGAAATGCTTCATCACCACAAACACCTGGGAAGGAAGCATCCATAAATTTGAATACATTTAATTGATAAACGACTCCGCATAGTAAGTCATGCAATCAAGAAAATGGCGATGCCCATGTCTTCCTGAGAAACTGTACTTTATTCTTGCTTTATGCCTTTCTCATACACTTTGGTGGGGAATCTTGTAGATTGATGGGCAAGAATGCAATAAATCTCTCAGATCAACAAAAGTTGTTTCTTTGGGGTTAGTTCTCCATTAATGTGCTCGCCTGTAAAGCCCAATTGGTTAGAATGTTTTCTGAGTTTAAATGGAATGCAATTTGTATGCAAACATGTACAGTAGTATAATCAAATGGTGACACAATTAAGTTTCACAACAGGAACAATGATAATATTCATAATCATAATCATTACTGTACGAAAGTTCACAGGCAGCATGCATGTGCAGATTAATTTGTATGGACAGACATGTAATGGAAGGAGCAGAAAAACAGAAAACATATCCCGACATCATGGTGGTATCCTCTTCAATATAGCTATTGCTTTTCTCAGAATTTTCTTGTTTTTTGTTTACTATTCTACATGTAGTACAAGCATTTGTGCTGCAATTAAAGAGCACAAATGGGTCAGTTTGTAATAATACTGGTATAGCTGCTTTCTCCATATTTGCCTTTTTTGCAGCTCAGATTGAGAACAAAGAGCAAAGACACAGTTTGCATTTAACTGTTTGCAGTTATTTGTCAAGTGCAAGTTCTTTCAGACTGGAATTGGCTTTTTTATCCTCTTGTCTAGGTTTGAAATGTCACAGTACTGACAGTAGTGATAGCACCCTACAGTGTACGCAGCGATAAGCCGATAACCTGGGTATTATCGTCAAGACACCTTAAACAATTCCAGATATGAGCAGCCCTTGATGTAATAGAACCATGGACTGATTTGACTTTTAGCCTGTTTAAAATCCTGAACTTTCTGGTTTCTGGTTGCCCAAGATATGGTAGACATTGTGGCTAATAGTAATGGCACGCTGTAAATGATTCAGTAATTCGTCCCGTCTGTAGACTTGTCAGTACTACAAAATGGCAAATGAATCATGGAATTCTGTCGAAACTGAAAGTCAGCATGGACCGCTCAGAAAGGCATTTGCCACTTGAAGAATCGTCTAATAATGTGATGTCAACAGCCATTCTGATCTTTATGCGATGACCTAACAGTAGCTATTAAAGCCTGTGGCATCATTTGCTATTGCGACATTTGCTGTGGGCTTTCTTACATTGCAGATACTAGGGCTAGCATGAGCGTTGCAATCGGTTTTGGGTTTGGGACAGGGTTGTGTATAATATTTGGTCCATGGTTGAATTTTGGAATTTGCTTTGTGTAAAAAAGTTAATGCAGAGCATCGTCACTGAAGCATGTGTGTTACATCTATTAAGTGCATATTTGCATCTTCATTCTTTATTTTTGTTTTTATTTCTCCTGGTATTGACTCTAATTGCATCAAACGTGTGAGGGAATGAATGAAGTACCATAGTAAATAATAATAATAATAAAAACCTTGCTTACACATGTAAATTTTGAATCTTTAATAGTAGGAGATAACTAGGACTAGCTCAAAAGTGGTTAAAAATGCACTTTATTCAATTTTCACTTCTGTGCAGTTTCGCCAGAAGATGTAGATTTAGAATAGATACCAGTAAATATATATGTGGACATGAAATATAACCTTGATAAATGAGTCAAGAGCTCTCATTAACATCTGGTTTAAACAAAAAACATTACTAACATGTTTTTCATTCTTTCTCTCTCTCTCTCTCTCATTTTATCCACAGTTATCCTGCTACAAAATACTGGTAGATCACAAGGTAAGATTTAAAATAGATTTAATATTTATTCACGTACCTCGGACGATTAACGGATTTACATAGATCGCTATTGTATTCTTCCCTCTTTTGCAGTTGTGCATGTAAATCTCAATTTTTGTTTCCCCCGTCCATGAAGGTGCCCCATTCTCTGGCTAGACAGGCAGCGTAAGGCATTTATTAGCATGCAGACATTTTACACTGGATCAAGCCAAGTGTAGGATGCCTACACACTGACTACTGTACTCTAACCCCCGCGAACAGGCTGTCATAATTTTTCTTGGCTAGACGGGGTCGGGTCGAGAGACGTTATCTCTCCCTTATCCCCGCTCTGCTCAGTCTGGTCCATGGGATTTGGATGTTCGGATTGCGACTCGAAAGGTCTATCGCAAAGCTTTATTCAACGGTGCTAATCCGTTCCGAATCCTTACATGTTCTATTCTCATATCAGACTCTCGATTTAAGTCACTGACAATCTTAGTTTTATATACATGTAGTGCTTAGCTAATGGGTATAATAGCACTTTCTATTTTTTGTTTATATTTTTTAAAGCATTTGTGTTGTTCAGTGGGTGTAAGGACGCCTTCCTGACATTTCCGGATTGCTATTGTTTTATAGATTCATATTAAAGTAAGATTGCAAGGTACTCCTTTCACATTGTTTATCTTATATGAACCTAAAAGCTGTTAAATTTGTATTATAATCGCTAATTTCTCATATTCTGTAGTTGAAAAAAAATCCTACTGTACGTTAAACCGGCGTGATCAGTTCACGTGCTAGATTGATCTCTGCAATATGAAAGTGGGCATGGTCTTATTGTATTTGGTTGATGTATGTTCCTGTCCCTTGTGTGATTAATCCTTTAATGTGAAAGAAGTCTTATGACCATGTATGAAAGGGGTCGTTTGAAGCTGTGTCAGCCCCCAAAATTCTCTTCCTCTGGAAACTGCATTTTTGATGTGAAAGGGGCATATTTCTTGTACCATCAACCTTCTTCCTCAGACAAGAAGCCAAGAAAAGAAAGGGAAGATGAGTCGAATCGGGTGACATTTGACAGAGCACCAACTTATTCATGCCATAATTTCCTTTCAATCTGGGCTGTTGCAGTTTCCTTTTAAATTCTCTGCTAGTCGTATTCCATGATAGCATCATTGTATAGATTTATGGAATTATGGAGTTTCAAGTAGGAATCTGTTGAAGATTACCTCATATTCTTCTTCATTGCTCATGGAATTGAATTGGTTGCAGGGAAAAAAATACTTTATAAATTTCGGGGACTACTTTTCAAGCTTGCTTGCATGAAAATAACACTCTTTATTTTGTTTTGCATTTAACTCTATGCAATTTTGGGGGGCTCTTTTATGACTTTCAGGGGCTCTTTGGGCCATTTCAGGGACATTTCGGGGGCTAATTTTCCTGAGCCCCCATGTATTTTTTTTCCTGATTGGTAGCCTCTGATTGGTATATTTCCATATAATCCCAATTTGAAATGTCAATGAATATTTCATACACATGTAATTGTGCCATATAATTTGTTTTCACAAGAAAAGTCTAAATTTGCAAGCAAAAACAAATTTTGTGTTACATACCGATACATATTATAATTAAAATCCTGGATAAGAAAGAGATTGTGTTATGCAGAGCAAGGCAGTGCAACAAAGGAGATGATAATTTAAGCACCATATAGTCTTAAGAACACTATCCGTTATTTTTTTCTTCTTCTTTTTTACTTTAGTGTCATATAAAAAAATATGTATTGATTACATACCACTTATTAAACACAGAATTCGTCAGATTTCACCCATATAATATAACTTATAACCAGTACAGGAGCCTAATTTGTTGAATAAATCAAGAATTTTCTTTAACAAACTTTGACACAAATGGACTTTAAGTAGTCCAAGTACGGGTGATAACGTCAGTTGCTTATAACATGTACATTGGTAATTGCTTGAAGCATGATAAAGGGGCATGTACCTTGCAGAGGGTGTTTGGATAGAGGATTTACTCATTCTTGAGGATGTTTCACAAAGATCCTAAGTTGAACTTATCTCTACATGTAAGTTGGACTTAACAAATATGGAAAGCCGTTAGCATCTATGAAAATATTTTGTAAAAGTTATTTTAAAAGGCATAAAATCATACATGTTTTTTATCATCAAGAAGATTCCAGGTTCTTGGTGTCGAATTTATATATAATACAAATGGCTCTCCATAATTTTTAAGGCCAACTTAGAGTTAAGTTCGACTTAGGATCTTTGTGAAACACCCCCTTTGCCGCCATCATACAAAGACATGTCTCCAGATCCCCTTGGGAAAGTCTACATGAAGTAATAATACATACAGAGATTCTACATACATGTATATAGTCAAACCTGCTTTTACAACCACCTGTATAGAAAGACCACCTGTCTACAAAGTCCACATCCCCCTTGAAAATGGTTTCTCTTTGAAACATACAAAGGAACCTGTACTTAAAGATCATCTGCCTATAAAGGCCACTTTTCTTCTCTCCCTTGTGTGGTCTTTATGGACTGGTTTCACAGTACATGTATTCTACCTCTTCATTTAATGTGCGGTCAGGGGGGCAACTACTACTAAGTTTGTGTACACTTATGGCATAGCCCAGATATGTGGGAAATTAATCTGTTTTCATTCTTTCTGATTGAGGAATATATCTGTATATTTAGGGGGACTATTTTTAGTCAAGCACCTTCCCCCATTGTAATACAGGCTTTTTTTTTGTTGGTGGGGGGGGGGGGGGGGGGGAAGGGGGGTTTAAACCCTCTTTGTTTAAAGTGTACCGGTAAGCCAAAGTGCCAGGGTAAAAATTAAAATTTAATATTTATTTTTCGGGGGCTTCTTTTCAAGCTTGCCTGCATGAAAATAACATTCTAAAATTTGTTTTGCTTTTTGCATTGAACTCTATGCAAATTTACAGGGGCTCTTTTCTGATTTTCGGGGGCTATTTTGGGCATTTCGGGGGCTAATTTGCAAAGTGCAAAGTGCCCTACTAACATGTGAGGTGTATGATAGCAAATATGAGGTCATTCAGCACACAATTATTAGAGAGGGAACACAATTTGTACATGTATGTGTCTATGAAAGAGAATTTTTTTGTTTGTTATAGTGTTCATTTTCTCTCTCTTTTTTATAAAGTTTATATTAACGTATTGAATTAACTTAACAAAGGAACAAAAAACAAAAATAACTCAATGTTTTTATTTAGATTGCATTGTTGTTTATCATTATCATTATCATGGTTACTTTAATTATTCCTTCCTTCATTTGCTTCCACAATGGCAATATAAATTTCATTTCATTTTATCATCATCGATTGAAAAGGGAAAGAGAGAAAAAATAAGGAGTTCTGTCTGATTGTATTCAAATTTGAATGCCGTTGTATCTTAAGGGATTCTGAGTGAAATTATATTTAGCGACGACGATCGACTTTCAGACTTGCGTGAGGGGGCACCGAGTTCACGAGTTTGGTGTCATTCAAATATCGCTGCGTTGCTCAAAAAAATATTTCCCTGTCAAAATTCATTTGCAGCTACTCCAAGACAAAATGAGAGTCTTTAAAAATCGTCGACCAAGCAACGCTTGATCAATCATCAATCACAATTTTGCAACGATGTTGGACATGATTAAGTGTTCAGAAAGCCTGTTATTTTATAATATTGAAGTTTATCTTGAATTCTGTTCATGGAATTGCATTTCAATTCAAGTAAAACTCACTTGAAAAAAATTAATTGTGGGGTATACATGTAGTAGAGGAATTATGTGAGCCTGCAAAATATGTTTGAAAATAGAATAGACCGAAACATGCCAGGAAATTAGAAATAACAATTTAGTGAAAAGCACTTCTTGCATTTGCACATCAGCGATCACATGTCATGCATGTGTGTTAAAACTACAGGATATTTTTCGTAATGTAACTACATTTAATGCCTACATCGAGTATCTTGATACAAATCATTTCATTTACTTGTTTTGAATAATTGTATTTCAATTGTAAGAATTAAAATAATATATGTATATTATGTGTTTACTACGAAGTGATATCAGATTGAACCATCATTTACTGGCGTATCAAGAGATATCCATTTTTGAATGAAATAAGATACAAAAGCAGGGGGGGGGGAGAATACATGGGGGCCCGGGCAAATTAGCCCAAGAAATGCCAAAGAGCCCTCCCCCCCCTCAAAAAAAAAAATAAAATTGGATAAAGTTCAATGCAAAACAAATTAAAGAGTGCTATTTTCATGCACTGCAAGCAAGCCCCCAAATTTTTTAAAACATTTTTTTCCTGTTTAACAAAAGACGTATTTTATAGCAGACACATTGCATTGAATTGCCTCAAAAGAAAGGACAATCTACACAGTGCGTTTGACCTTGTATGCTAGGACCCAGAAGGTCAATATTTTTCATCTCAGGACAGGGTTTATTCTTAGGCCTAAACTGATCACATACTCTTCTTCAAATTGGCAACAATAATATTTTTCTTTTATTGCTCCATCGTTAAAGTAAAATGTAATGTCTCTGAAAGCAGTAAACCAGTACATGTACATGGGAGACAATTTGTTTGAAAAGTTCAAAAATATGTCAATTTTTATTGAAAAACAATTTTAATCTCTTGTTTTGTCACCAATTTAAGGATTTTTAAAGCTTATTTTCCTCTTTTAACATTCCTGGTATCAAACGCAATATAGTGTGATAGCTCGGAAATAAGCAAAGAAATTATTAAATGGAGCTATTATTGTGGTCTTCACTTACATCACACTGACCTTCATGTGTACACCTAAAATCATACTACTAGTACTAATAGCACTAATATATGGTGGCCCTGAAGGGACATCGCGAATAGACTAAATCGTGAAAAATATGCGATAAAATTCACGATATCGTCAATTTTATCGCATATTTTTCACGAAGAAATTCACGAAATTGACGATATCGTGAACTTTATCGTGAACTTTATCGTGAACTTTTCACGATGAAAT